GCGCGCGGGCCGGGAGGGAGGAGTGGGGCCGGATGATTCATCCCTCGCCCCATTTCCTTCCGAACTGGGTGCCGTCACCCCGGAGCAGGGGGCGTGAGAACCCCTCCCGGTCGCGAGTGGGCTGCTGCTGCTGCTGCCTGTCGCCTGCGCTTGGCGCTTGCCTTGCAGCTCGGGTCTGTGCGTCCACCCACCCACCCCCGTTAGCTCATATCAACGCAACGCGGAGGATGCCCCTTCTCCTTCCGCTGCTGGCAGCCAGCGAGCAGGCACCTCCCCCGGGCCTTCCTGGAGGCATTTGAGCTTTTCTCCGGCTCCCAGAAGCAGCTGGAGCGCCCGCATCCCCGGAGTCTGAGGGAGCTGGTTGCACGCCATGGCTACAGTACCCCCTTCCTGCGCCCCCGGTAGCTTTTCCCCTCTCCGAGGCGAAGGCTCAGCATTCCTCCAAAGCTGTGCCACCATCGTTGCGTGCTTTAAATGTGGGGAGGCCCCTAAGCCTTGGGGCAAAGGTACCTCGGTTCTTCTCACCCTCCCAGCCTCCCAAAGCTCGCCCCTCGGCGTCTGGCTAGGTTTTTCAACCTAGGAATGTTAGTTGTGTTGAGGCAGGGATGGTTTGTGTATTTCTGAGCGTCTGTCATTTGGTAACTAGCTGTGTGAACGAATCACTGTGAGACTGCAGATTCCCAATGTTTGATTCCAAACAACATCACCCAATGTCACATGCCCTGAGTAGCTACCATAAATTCCAGAAGGGGGAGGGGTGTCTTTTTTCGTTTCTGTGGGAGATGAGGAACTTAATGATAGCCCTTATATACTAGCAGGTTTCTCTTTTCCCCAAACCTTGCTAGACATAATGGGCCCTGCCCCTTGCCTTCATAACCCTTTAGATAACAACGACGATACCTTGCTAGACATAATGGGCCCTGCCCCTTGCCTTCATAACCCTTTAGATGACAACGACGATAGAATGAATCTTTGAATCAAGCTATCAGCCTGTTAATCAATGGCAGAATCGTAGAATCCAGTGACGTTCCAAGGAAGTCATTTTTCTTGGGAGCATACATAGTTGATTTTCTGAGTGATTCATGAAGCAAATGACAAAAATTCTCTTCAAGTTCCATGGGATCTTCCAAATTTTCAACTTCCAAGAAGATAACTTGATTATTCATAGCTACATTTATCATTTAAAAGCACTTTTTGCCTAGGGAAAAGAAGTAACTTCTATACTCTCTATCTTTGGAGTAATAGTACAAAAAACCTGGATTATCTTGCAAATGTATTTTTTTAGTACATTGACAACAATAACTGGTCATTGGTTGTGTGGGAGGAAAATTCACGTTATTATTTAAAACTGTTAGTCACAAATCCTACGGGATTTATTTCCAACCCAGATTTATTTCCAACCCAGATTTTAATGACCAGAGCTGCTAAAGGTATATGCATTCTGTTTATAAGCATAGAATTTCTTCAGGTGTGATTGGAACATTATCTATATTTTACAGGATACATATGCTTTATTAGTCCAAAGATAACTTGCTCATATCAAGTAGTTCATTCCTAAGAAACTGGTAGAAAGAAGTATCCGTGCCCTTGTAAATTACAGTCCTTTCATGGGATTTTGCATTCCCCTGAACAAGTCAGAGAAGCCTTGGCTAGCAAAGTGAGGAGAGGCTGTCATTCTTCCTGAGTCTTGATTTTGCTTATCACAGTACACCATGTAAGAGGTCTGATGATTAGCAGACAGGTTGCTCTTGTTCACAGGAAAGGGTGGTCTGAGGGAGTGTCCACTGGTATGTATGATTCAGTGTCAGGTGCAAATAGCCTCAGCACAATGCAGATTTATAGCACAGCCAATACATAGTTGATCTATTAGCAAATAGCTTCAGATGGATTAGCTGTTAGATCTGTTTGGTCAGGAACTAGCTCATCAGTCATTCCTAGAGGGCACTAAGAATGCCTGCCTTTTGTTGGAAAGTCCCCTCTTCCAGGCATCATGACTAGATTCAATACCTGTAATAAAAACACCTAGACACAATTATCCCCCCCTCTTTTTTTCAGACTAATGAAATGAAGCTAAGAAAACATGCTAGAGTAACCTTCCAAGATCTAATACTGATGAGGCTATGGTTTGAAGCCAAGAGCAGGAAAGGTTGTAGTTCCTTTTGTTCACTCACCAAATAAATTAAATACTGAGTTGTATTCTGTACGGTTCTCTGTGTAACAAAACCTGAAGTGGTCATTGTTAAACTTTCACTACCCTGCATACCTTCTCTGCAAGTTTGCCATTTTTCTTGAATTCATTTCTCTATTTTTGTAGACCTTTGAAGATGGTCCTTCAGGTTGCACAATGTACTTTGAGTCCCCCCCCCCCAGTTATCTTTAAAGGGGAATTAAAAAAAATCTGAATGCAATTAATGACGTTGTAGAAATGCCAGCCAACCAGGAGACTAACTTTCCTGTCTCAGTTGATGATCCACCAAGCCCTGGGGTGTGGGATCCCTGGTCCTGAGGTTTTTGTTGTCCCTGGGGTAGTGACTGCAGAGGTTCTCATCTGAAAAGTGCCAGATATGACCCTGTGAAACTTCCTGTTCACCCAAATGATGCCCTTTGGCAATAAGCTGAGCAAATTAGAAGTGCACTGGCAGCTTTTCCACTTTTTAAGAAAAGATGAATGTTTACAGGTGAAAGGTAGAATTGCTTTTGTATTTTTGTTTAACTGTGATGCTTGATGACTAAGTCAGCATTCTCTTGGAGTCTGAGGAACCAACACAGTGAAGAAAGGATTTTCTGGAGTCTCCCCACAGTCTCTTTCAGAGCCATTTATCCTGAGACGGATGGATGTGGGGGGGAATCAATGCAAGAGTTGACCATGGCTTTGATACTTAAGGTTCACACATGCAAAAGCTTGAGTACTCATTGAGTACTCATGGGTGCTTGCTGAGTATGGTTGCAGATGCTGGACACGATGCTTGTTTTCCCAAGGAAAAGTTGGTGTAATCCATCCCATTAATATTTAATTTTGTGCTTATGAAATTTTAGACCACCCTCAAAGAGCTTCCTTTTATTTTTTATAGTGGCATCTTGATCTGCATCACCTGAAGTCAGCCAGGAGAGTATGGGGTCATTTCTCAGGCAGTGCCTCACAGAAAGTACGGGAGCTTTATTTGGGAGATACATATGTATATGGGAAAGCACTCAGGAGCAGACACATTCCTGGAGTTGAGTCACAACTCCTGCACATGCTCAATTTAAGGCCATAGAACAAAAATGATGGTGAACACATTTGAGGATGTACTTAGCTAAATAGTTTAAAACGACACACGATAACTTGAACATATTTAGCTTGTACCATAAAGATGTTGAATGCTTCCTGATAGTCTTCCAGAGGTTTGTTTGTTTTAAGATTTATTCTCTCTGTCTCTGTGTCTGTCTGTCTGTCTGTCTGTCTGTCTGTCTCTCTCTCTCTCTCTCTCTCTCTGTGTGTGTGTGTGTGTGTGTGTGTGTGTGTGTGTGTGTAGGGTGGTGTGGAACCCTTGCTGAAATTACAGGAGTTTGTGAGCTGCCTGATGGGGAGTTCTGAGATCTAAACTCTATATTACTCTGATAGGAAAGTAATTGTTCTTACCTGCTGCCATTGCTCTAAACTTTTAACTGAAACAAAATGAAAGGAAATTTTGAAGATGCCGTGATATGGACAGTTCCCCATAAAAATCCCTGCCTCACTTAGAAGCTAACAATATTGGCACTCAACCTTTTTGATACACCCTTAAAGACAAATGAATGTGAAATTAATCACATAGTCTCCCATTTAATGCTGCCATACCAGGACAATACAGAAGAGGTAACTTACAATAAAGAGAAATTAACTGGCTCTCGGGTCTTAAAGCCAAGAGGCTGCCTCTCATAGCATCTGATGTAAACCTTCTTGCCGTGTATCCCATAAAGAAAGGACAAAAAGATGCCAAGAGGGAGGCAAGACAGGGTTGACGAGGCTCTTACTTTTAATATGGAATCTGTTCCTGCAGTACGGAAATATCTCCACACAGTAGTGTCTCCCTGACCCCACACCTCCTAAGGGTTCCACCTCCCAGCATCTGCTTATTAAGGATCAATTTTTCACAGGACAGGAGTTTTGGGAGGCACTGTCAAATCATAATACACATTAAGCATTTTTTTTAAGCTAGGAGGCCATTACTCAGGCCAAAGAAAGAAATTTATAAGATTTCGGGGAACATAGCAATCATAAATCTCGTAAAAGGAAATGCTTGAAACAAGGTTTAAATCACATAAAAGTCTACTTTAATTTTGCTTTTTTTTGAGACAAAATTTCACTGCCTAGGATGCCTTTGGAATTCACTGTGTAGCCCTGGCTGGCATCAAATGTGTTAATCCTCCTGCCTCACCCTCCCAGGTGCTGAGACTTCTGGCATAGGCCACAATGCCTGACTAACTACTACTCATTCTGTAAGTGACAAAATCAGGTTTAACTATAGGAAGCAACAGTTGTCAATAATTGGGTAGGAGGACATAGAAAACTAATTACTGAAAGAAGGAAGCCTGAAGTGAACCTGTTTCCAGCAGGCTTCCTATGAGATGACATTTGATAGAACTTGGACATAGATGTGCTGGGTAGTTTTATATCAACCTTACACAAGCTAAAGTCATCTGAGAGGAGGGAACCTCAATTAAGAAAATGCCTCCATAAGATCGGGTTGTAGGCAAGCCTGTAGGGCATTTTCTTAATTAGTGATTGATGGAGGGCCCAGCCCATTGTGAGTGGTGCCATCCCTGGGCTGGTGGTCCTGGGATCTATAAGCAAAAAGGCTGAGCAAGCCATGGAGAGCAAGCCAATAAGCAGCACCCCTCTATTGCCTCTGCATCAGCTCCTGCCTCCAGGTTCCTGCCCTGTTTGAGCTCCTGTCCTGACTTCCTTCAATGTTGAACCATGGTATGGAAGTGTAATCCAAATAAACCCTTTCCTCCCCAGCTTGCTTTTTGGTTCTGGTTTTTCATCTCAGCAATAGAAACCCTAACTAAGACAGAAGAGAAATTCAAACCAAGCCCACCCATCATCATGAGTTCAAAAGACAGAGGGTGGATTTGGTGAAGGCTGATTAACCTAGAGTTTGCAGAGTAGAAGGGGGGAGAGCTGAGAGAGGGTTTCAAGTTTCTGCATGAAGGGTTATATGGAAGGTGTCCCTGATATATGGATAGTAGGAACTTGAGATAAAAATAACCATTGCTGTATACTAAAAACTATAGCATAGTTCAGAGAAAAAAACAAAGATGGCTTTAATAAACGGAGAAATACATAATGTTTATAGCTTGGCCAACTCAATATGGTTAAGATGCTTAAAAGATTTATACTAAGTGGTATAAACAAAAAGAACATCAAAATGTAAGATGTGCCTTTAGAAAGTCTTTGTAGTATTATCAACCTAATTAATGAATAAATGATAAAT